ACACACACACACACACACACACACACACACACACACACACACACACACCATTCAGCATGGCAACACTCCCTTTTGACAAGTTGTGTACCAGAAAGGGAAGACTATGAGGCTGTGATGGCTCGTTGCCTCCATCTTTCATGATACATAATTTCCTAAGTCAAAATTAGTATTTTGTAGAATTCCATTGTGAAACACCATACTTGTTTAAAGACAACAATTAATTCAACAAAAGGGCATTGATAATACCATATGAGATCTAAGACATACAAGACTCAATAAGAAAGCACTTTTTGCTGGCATGAAAGCAAATCCAAAACTGAAATGATCTAGAACACATATGAAGAGTCTGTGTTCCTGTCCACTTATTTTCCAGGGCATCTTTTTGGTCCCAGGGGCTCATTACATCTGTGGCTGAGGAATCCCCAACTGCATCTCTAAACTCTGGTGTCCTCCCTGAACTCCAGGCTAAAGCCCAGTGCCAGTCTCCACTTGGGGGCATTTGACGTTCACATGCGCTAAGCTTCTGATTCCAGCCCTCACTCTGCTCCACTTCCTACACACTTACCAGGGAGATTCCCTCAGCCCACTTAATGGCAACCCCATCTTTCAGAGTTACTCACTGAAAGATGAAACACTGTGGTTTGTTGTGACACCTCTATTTTTTTTTAACTATCCACAACTGACTTTGAGATCAAATGTCGGCTCTACCTCAAAACAGATGGACTTTACTGTCAACACTGAAGTCTGTGCTCTCATCCTCTCTGGGCAGGGTTGCCGTAAGCACCGTTAAACTGGGAAAACCCTGTATGCACAGTAAGACAACATCCTCTCCCAACTGGAAAAGATGATGTCCCTCCTCTGTTCAAAGCTGCCAGGCTCCTGTCTCCTCATGAGAGGCATCCTTGCCACTGTGTACAAGGCCTAGCAGGCCTAGCCCTGTGGCCCTGCTCTCTGCTCACGTGCAGGCTTGTAAACTTTCATCTTGGCCCCAGCAGACTAGGCTGGGTTGGTCAATGCTCCTGTTCTGTTCACCAAGAAGACTTTCTGGAACACAGTACCAATGCCTGTTAAATGAATTAAGGCAAACTCTACACACACTTCTTATCTCCATAAGTTTTTGAGTTTTAAGAAATTTCTGGCTTCTCATCTTTATTAACGTAAGCTGCTGTTGAATGTAGGTTTACGTGTGCTGGACATGATGGCACACACCTGTAATCCCAGCACTCAGCACAGAGGCAGGTGGATCGCTGCGAGTTTGAGGCCAGCCTGGTCTACAAAACGAGTCCAGGACAGCCAAGGCTACACAGAGAAACCCTGTCTCAAAAAAAACAACAAACAAACAAACAAAAACAAAAAGAAGAGAAAGAATATAGGTTTATGTTAATTGACTTGCCTTTGAATGGATCATTTTTGGTGAATGTACATATGCCAACAAACTCCGTCACTTCTAAGCTTTACTCTTCCTTGTCAAGCTGCCTCAAACTCTGTCTGTATAATTCTTCCTTAGCATTCTGCTGATTAAAATTGGTAAGGATGTGCAAAGACCTCCTCAGCAGTGTGATTTTATGCTTGCTATCAGAGTAGGCCCTTGTTAAAGATTTGTAGGTTCTGATATGGGATAGAGGAGGCTGGAGGATTTAAATAATTCCTTCAGCAAAGACAGCAGCAGGGTCATCCCGGCAGACAAAAAGAGCTTCATCAAACATCAAGGCAGGGAACGCCTCAAGCTGTAAGTGAGACACAGTCATGTTTGGGGAATCAGATATTCTGAGTTCTCCAAATGGACCTGTTTTCTCATGTCTGACTCTTCATAGAGTCTTCCTTGTCAGTAACAAACACCTTGGTAAGGGTCTCAGTAGGTAAGGTCTCAGTTGAGCTTGGTAAGGTCTGAGCTAAGCAAAGCTCTGACTGAAATGGAGGAGAGGGAGGAGACCAGAATTGAGGTGTTTTGCAAAGGGGTCATTAGTGTAAAGAATAGTTTTAAACATCCATGAATGTTCATATGACTGAAATCCATTTGAAATTGTAATTTAGTATAAGTAGTATGAAAAACATTGCTTTTTCTGTAGGAAATCATTTTTTGAGACAATCATTGCTCAACCCGGTAATTCACATTCCTGTATGAGACATGAGTACAGAGGCATATCCCTAGGAGCCCTTCTAAAAGCTTGGTACTGTTATGTCCCCAACTCTCAAATACTAAGATTCAACCTGACTAACTCCTTCCTTAATTGTAACTCTGGCTTCTGAGAAATTGGCCACATAATTTTAAATGGCTCTAAGTAACAGCCTTTCTGTTTCACATCTCCTTTATGCCTGTCCAAACAAATTGATTTCAGTATAGAACCCAGACAATGATTGGATAATATATACTAGGATGAAGGATGCTACAGGGTCAAAGAGGAAAGGGAAAAGCCCTATCTAATCTGAAGGGAAGCCTGCCCCAAAGATAGGATTGTTTAGGATGACAGTGACAATAAACGATCATATGCAGGTCCTAGATGCTTTGTGTGTGGTACCTCACTTCATCCTCCTGATAAAGGTTTCAGGTGCACTGAGTTCCTGTTTCAAAGAACCAGATGACAGTAAGTCTTTTTGTCCATTCTCATACATACTGCAGATGGTGTAGCTGTAATTCCAAGCTGGGAAGTCTGATTCCTGAACCCTTGCTCGTAATCATGAGTGGTAAGACAAAAGGCCGCCAGGCTGAGGTTGGTATTCTAGCTACACTGAGGGAGGAGCATAAAACAGCGTGTTCACGAACAGGCATCCAGGTCAACACTAGAAAATAATGGCAGAAAGTGACACACCAAGTGTGGGCCCTGTTTGCTGTAGGGTTTCATCCTAGAGGAAAGGAGAGGATGTTGAAGGTTTAAAGCAGTACAGAAAAATAGTCAGGATTGTGTTTCTGGATAACCGCTCTGGCCCTGCTGGGGAAAATGAATGTGGAATAGAGAGAACATGAAGTCTTTTCCCTGTCCTCGGGAAGAAAGGAGTGCTAAACCCAACCAGTAACATTAATGACAGGAAAGAAGAGAGGGAGTTAAAAGCCACAAAGGGAAACTGAAAATTCTGTATTGAGGATGTGCCAACAGCACATAAAAGGAAATAGATAATGATGTTCCTCCATTTGCCTCACTTCCTTTGAAAGAAATAACACTCGGTGTTTTTAAAGACTCAGGGATAGTATCCAGATTAGGCAAATACAGTTCAGCTTTTCAGCTACAATAGATAGATAAACACCATTTTACAAGCACCATTTGTTGAAGGGTAGATATGAAGATTAAATCTTTTACTTTACAAGACATAAAACATAATATTAACTCTACATTTTTAAGCAAGAGTTTATTGTAATTACATATATCTATTCTATCTTTAAAACATTTTGAGGGGTGAGGGGAAGCCATTGAAAATCAAGGACCAGACAGTACTGTGATTCAAATGCTTCTTATCCTTTGCATATACAAGCTCAATTTATCAGATACATGGATACATTTGACACATTACTACTTTTCAGCAAAATCACTTTCTCATTTAGTGATAGTTCAGTTAACTAAATTCTTAAGAAATCAGTTTCCTCAATGTTTTTAAAGGATAATGTTCAGCAGTAGAGTAATAATTAAGATCAATGTTAGCCACCCAAATGAAATCAAGATTCTAAAAATATATATATTTGAAAATAGTGTACATTTGTGGGCATTGGCATATATTAGTGAATAGTTAAGGCAAAGAACTATTTCAATAAACAGGTTAAAGTTTATCAAAGTCTAAAATATATTTTAAAATGAGTGACAGAAAATGATTCCAAAAATAAATTTCTGTGTTAAAGAGTTCATTAGAAAACATCATACGAATATAATTAAAAAATATTTTGATTCATTAAATGTGCAAAGATAGAGTATTCACATGGATTCATTGTTTTTCATCAGTTTCTTCTGAAAAAGACACACTAAACATGAGTGACAGGTTTTTTTTTTTTGTTTGCTATAAGTCTATTTTCATGACTGAAATGTTCTTAGACTTATAGGTTACATACAGTAAACTAGATTTAAAACACATTTATTGTATAATATCAAAACCTTCTTAGTCTTTTTTAAAAATCATAAAAGAAATAAAATTAATTATGCCACTTACATTCACTATCCTATAAGTAGGTAAACAACCTTTGAAATCTACATTTTACGCTTTGGTCATTTAATTCAGCATGTGTTTACCTTACTCTGGTAATTTAATTATATTAATAATAGCTTAATGGTCATTCTATTTACCTGAAAACAAAAACATCATGTTTCATATTTTTAAAATACTATCTTACCCCTTTTAAATAATTTTTTACAATGGGTACATATTTGAACATATAAGTAGACAAGTCTGAAAAAAATTTTATATATTTTTTTCTTTGAACTTCTGAGGATGAAATACAAGCAATGACAATTTAGGATTAAAATGTATAATATTTGAACTATTATTTCAAAATCCATCTTAATAAATAAATTTATTCTGGAAAAGTCAACCTCCTAGGAAGTTGGCTCCTCAACAATAATATTGCTCTGGCTATAGGACTGGCTTTCAAAATATAAATAAATGCTTTTTCCCTACCATGCCTTTCCCCAAGGAGGCTTTACAGTAGTCTAGCACCTTATGTTAAAAAGTATTTTGCATATTAGAGCAGAGGGAGATGATAAAGCAAGTTTCACATCAGGGGTCTAACAGGCAATAAACAATGAATGAATTCATCACCACTAAACCAGAGTCTTTGGGGTTACATTACTTTCCAGTTTGGAGGGGAAAGAGACCCACTATGCTACCACATTGGAAGGTATTTTAAGGCCGTATTTTACACTGCATGAGTAAGTTTAGCTACACATATTTTGTACTCCTCATTTTTTTTTTTTTTTTTTTTTTTTTGAAAATGCTTTAAGTTCTTCCTGGCCCAAAGAAAACACCACAGTTGTTGGCTCTCGATAGCCCTAGTGAAAATAAAAGTTGCTTATATTAGAATTCAGCTTACTGAATAATTTAGTTTTTTAATTGTAAAATTTAATAAAAATAGTAGGAAACTTTTCCACTACAAAAATAAAGCATTTTCTAATGTAATGTCTAATTGTCAATATTTCCAGTGCCTCAAGCATTCCTTGTGTAATAGCAACAAGGGAGTCCTTTTTTTTTTTTTTTTTTAAGATGTTTTCAGCTTTATTTTAAAAAGCTGTAAAGCTTAAAAGGAAATGTTTACCCATAGGAAAGAAACATAAACTCAGGCATAAGGAGAAGGGCTTCAGGAACTCGTTCTCTTACATAGTGGATGCTCGCAGAGGTAAGCACTAACAAGTTATGACTTGAAATTCTTGGGTCTAATCATCATCTTGGCCTGCTTGAAAGAGGACTTGTACCCACCAGGCTGGGACTGGCTTATACCAGGCCAGGTGCCCCAGAAAATCCCATTACGGACACCTCTGTATTTCTGGTGATAATATTTGCCATTTAAGTTTGCAGAGAGACATGCATCGAACCACCAGCCTGAGCTGTAATAGAGCCCACAGTTCCCAGAGGGATACCGGTCATTGTCTCTGTCTGGAGTGGTGAAAAACTTCAGGTCATGGTTGTAATGTCTACTGAAACGCAGGGCATCCCCCGCTGTGCCATTATATTCACCGATATGCAATCGGTATTTGAGAAACTCATTAGCCACGTAAAAATGATCATACAAGGCATACAGTGCGAGACCGTTAAAGTCTTCAAGATCTATTCTCAAAGCCATTTCTTTACTCTTGGACAAAAGGTGAATTTTATCATTTCCCAGCCAAAATTCTCGCTCAAGGTTTCCAAAGCCTGCTTTATAGTCCTTCCATTCTCTGGTGAAATTGGTGCTTCCATCAAGGCGAGCCTGTAGCACAGTCCAGCCTCCCCCCGCGGTCTCCATGTCACAGTATACGTCAAAGCTACTGTTTCTGGAATCAGGTGTAACTCTGTAGGTCCCACTGTTTCTTTTTCCTATTGCATAGTATTCAGAACAGTCTTTGTATATTAGATGTTGAACTGAAGGAGGAAAGAAAGAAAAGCACGGGTTTGTTAATCAAAGCCAGACATCTGAAGAATTTCTAGACTTTACTTGGCAATTTAGTTGATGGTGATAATAGAACCTGGCTCTGATGTACTCACCTCAACCTGGTTAGCAGATGCTAACTAAGGCCTCAGAGCCAACCGGTGTTGGCAAGAATGGTGACAACACTGACAGCAGGCAGCAGTAAGAATAAGCGTAAGCAAGGTTTAAGGAGACCAACCACCTCCAGAAACTCTGCCTGCAGAAACACCGTCACTTTTTCACACGGAACCCACACATCAACCTTATGATGGGGGGATTACCACCAGCTTGCTTATAAAGTTATTTTTTCTCAAAAAAAAAAAAAAAGTCAAGGACTTTTCCCACTTCAAATAAGTGTTAAGTGACAGAGCTAGGACATAAAGTCAAGTCTGCCTGCTCTTGTAACCATTGCATTGCTCTGCCCAAGTCGCCTATGAACAAATTCTAGGCACGGTCAGCAAGTATGGGGACATAACAGCAAGTGTTATGTTTCGAACGAAGCGTCAACCTTCAGTGCACAGCATTGCTTAGAAACTCACTCTCATTTCCCCTGAGAACTTTAAAAAGAGGTTCCAGTTGTTTGGTTTTTTTTTTTAAGTCTTCCCCCAATAAAAAAAAAAAGCAATGTTACCCTGAATTTATTATTCAGGAAGATATAGTCGGCCAATATCTCATAGTTTGGTTTTTGAAGAAGCAACAGGTTAACTATGCCCAGTGTAATCAGTTAATGGTTTTGTAGAGGTCAGGGATCAGCTGTTTGTTCCCAGTTCACTTTAATAAAAATCTGAGTCAGATAAAGAAAGTTTAATAATGTAAGATACTTGTGAGGCACAAAAATCTATTTGTGTGTCTTTAGAACTCAGAATGTTCATTTCCTAAAACCTTTAGGAGAAGAGTAAATAATAGGATTTTTTTTTATATCGTTACAAGTTACTGTGCAGTGTCATATTTAATATACGCCTTGTGATGTCACTTAAAACATGAATCTACCTGGGTCGCTAGTGACAGTAGCCCTTGACACAGTGGCTTACCATCTCCAGGAGATCCCAAATGAAAGCGATCTCTACTATGTCTCAGTAACCTCACAGTCAGGATGAACACAGATCCACAGATCGCAACAGAGAGTGGTCTCCCAGCATGTGGCAACCCCATCCACAGAGGTCCTAGGAATCCAGAAGCTGTGGCAAACATGGACACAGGAGGCTGTAGGGCTTGTGGTCTTAAATCGTATTCACCTTAATTAATTGGGGTGCTGAGAACGGATGTGATACTAAGTCTCAAACCCCAAATCTTCCATTCTCAGTAGCTATTTGAGAACGGAGCACAGCAGATTGTTTGTGAAAGCCTTATAAAGACCACGAGCTGCTCTGAGAAGAGGTCAGCAGCCACCCAAGACCTGATTTCCATGGACCTAAGTAAACACAGCCGGGAGCCTTGCCCTATCTATCCTGTGTTCAAACAAACATTGAGACAGGCTAAACGTATTGGCCAGGGTGGAATCAGCTGGCAAGGAGGGTCTAGAGACAGCAAGTGGTCTCTAACAAGTACACTAGGATTTCTGTAATGAGACCATTTACCATCTCTGTTGTCTCATTTGAGAAAACAGGTGGTTTTTTTTTTTGTTTGTTTGTTTGTTGTTTGTTTGTTTTTCCCTGCCATAACCTGACAGATGAAAGGCTTGTTAACCAGCTCTCTCGGGGTAATGTTTATGGCCACTATCTGGCTATACAGCATTCACGAACAAATGGAGAGAGCCTCATTCCACCTACCCGGCTGTGACTGGAACTGTTCTTGGCTGGAGCACTTGGAACACTTGCCGTCCAGACTGTTGACTACAAAGGTTAGATTTGCCACTTTGTCGTCCACGTAATTCTCGATGTTGTTCTTATTCATGACGTGGAGCATCTCCAGGTGCCTGTGCATTTCCTGGACCTCTTCCTTGGCGTTCTTCAGCTCCAAGGACAGCTTGTTCACCTGACTCTCCAGTTCCTCCACCCGGTTGTCCTTCTCCGTCGTTTCTCCATGCCAGCCAGCCTCTCCGTGGTCGTCAGCCAGCAGCTTGCAGTCCTGGCAGGACTTCTTCAGACTCTCCACGGCTTCCTTGAGGGTCTGCACTTCCTTGAGCACCTCCTCCAGGCTGCCGAACTGGCGCGGGAGCTGGAGGGTGAGCGTGGGCAGGGTGAGCTGGAAGGGGCACTGGCTCCCCTCGCACTTGCCGCTGCCCTCCAGCCGCACGGGGCAGGCGGCCTGGACGCTCGCATCCTCCAGCCGCTCGGTCAGGTTGTTCGCTTCCGCCGCTCGGCAGGCAGCGAGGACGGCGGAGCTCAGCCAGAACCAGCCGGGAAGCCTCATCCTGGCAGTGCGTGCCGCCCAGCCCGACACCGCGCTTTAATAGAGCCACGGCCGCCTGACTCAGGCTTTCTGTGTTCCCAGAAAAGGGCGGGCGCATTTGCATCACAGTCTCAGAAGCGGTGGCGGCGCAGGAGGAGGAGAGGGTCCTCAGCAAGTGCCTCTGGCTAAACGCTGTCATCCCTTGTCAGTCAAAACCACGCACAATAGAATGCCTGCAGTGGGTGGCACGCATTGTGTTCAAGATTCACCGTCTTGGTTTTTAATGAAGCACAAGGAAAGTCTTGTTTAAAAAACAATTGTAATACAAATGTTCGAAGTAGACCACTAGCTGGGAAAGAATTTGAAAGTCTAAATGTCTGTGAGCTTCTTCCCGATACATGTAACTGAAATGGAAACGATTCTGTCTCCTTACTAGTTTGGGACATCAAAGACCTGTTTCTTTGAAGGCTAGACTTTCCGTGAATTCTTAAGGACTTACATTCGCTTCTAATCAACTCATTAAATGATCTGTGTGTGTGTGTGTGTGTGTGTGTGTGTGTGTGTGTGTGTCTGTCTGTCTGTCTCTCTGTGCGTCTGTCTGTCTCTGTGCGTCTGTCTGTCTCTGTGTGCAAAGGAAGAAAACTAGAAGAGGAAAATAATGTTGCATTTTCTCCTCTGACAGCATAGAATCTATAATTGTCAGTGCCCAAAACACTTGGAAGCTCATCACTCTATCCGCAGCCTTGGCTGTCCTTCCTCATTGCTGAGCTCAGGAGCTGGGGCAGCGAATCTGCCTCCTTGAAATTTATTGTGCATGCTGGCCTCTCCTAAGCTTTCTTTCCAAAAAGGACGTTATTGCTTAAAAATTATTTCAACATTACTGACACAGATAATTCCAAATTATTTATTTGTACCAGTTAAGGCACTCTGTAATCCATCTATTTATTTAGACTGGGTCTCAAATAGCTCAGGCTGGCCTTGAACTCTTTATCTTCCTGCCTGTTCCTCCTAATTGCTGGGATTACCACCGAATCCAACTCATACTTACTTCTCTAAACAGATTTCCTAAGATTCTTCTCTTCCGTCTCTTAATTCTGTTTAAACTTCCCTATTCAAGTTCTCAAAATATGTCAGGTTCACTCTCAGTGTTTGAGGTTGTGTTTCCTCCTGAGTGCTCAGAAGCCTGGGGTGCTAGTGCTCACACCACCTCCAACTGGACATAACGGGCATTAGCTTTGCCGAGCCCTCATTCCTGTTACAGCGCAGGAGTTTAGACATTTCTCCCTCATACAGAAATAGCCTACACAAACTTTCTAGTGTTGGGGAAAATGTGGAGCATAAAAGGTTTGTCAGCTGCACCTTCTGCCTTGTTCTCTTCCAGCCTATCACTTTGTCTCTCTTCAGTCCATGCAGTATATTCAAACCAACTTTAGACCAGAAGTGTAACTCCACTTTAAAATATCTCATTTCATTTCACCCTCCTTGTCCACTTTCAAATCATGATATGATATTCCCTAGTTGCAAGGGAGAATTAAACAAATGGGTAATTTTAAAGAGAGAAGGAATAACAGATTAAAAATTACCCTGTGAAGTGGACCTATATAGGAGTGGATTCTTGCGCATTGCTAACAAGCTAAAGCCCTCCTCTGAGTCTACCAGTCAAGAACTTATTCTAATTACTGTGTAGTCGACACCATGCTAGAGCATGTATGCGACACGCTTACCAGCACCTCATTCATCCATCCATTTACTCATCATATTCTAAGGATTCTTTCTGAATACACACACAGCACTACTCCTGAGGACTTGAGCTACACTAACAAGCAAATCCAAACAACGACAGCAACAACAAAATGCCTTTCCTTTCTTAAAGATACTGAAGGGCTCATATTTTCCTCATGACATCTGCCAGGGTGGACTTAGGACTTTAATGAAGACCTAAACAATCTTAGAACTTTCTCAATGTGACAAAAAGCACAGCTTTCTGACTCTTGACATGGGCTCATTGTTCATCTGTTCGAATGAGGGATTTGCTCTCTGGGGGTTGCAGCTGACTCTTCAGTTCTCAACACACCATCTAATTATGGGCTAGTGTCATAGGTCTACCTAAAAAGCTTGCGTGCCTTTGAAAACAGGCTGCTGTCTGACCAGGGGCCACTTAAAATTCTCAAAGTGAAAGTAGAAAGCTGCTTTGTTTATCAGTTTCCTTAGCACTGATATGTGATCTTCAGAGATTCTCAACTTAAAACAAAAAAAAAAAAAACAAAAAAAACAAAAAAACATTGCCGCCAACTGGGTGTGGTGACATTTACCTAGGAAGATCGCCAATTCAAGGAGAGAGCTACACAGTAAGACTCTATCTCAAAATACAACTAACCGTTAGTCCCAGATGACAAGGCAGACACTAAGGAGCTACAGGAATGAGGCTCAGTCCACCCCTGGAGCCAGTAAACCCCTGGGGTAGAGTGCTGTGCCAATGGCTGGACAGGACGCTATCTCCACTGTAACCATCTGTCCACGCAGTTAAGCAGCGAAAGGACTCCCGCAGTCAGCAATGAGTGGGTGGTTTTATGGTTCTGAGAAGGCAGAGTGGGAAGTCGATCCTGAGCCTGACTCCAAAATCTGTGTCCTTTCTGCCACACAGACACACATCACTGGGTCCTTGATGAGGGCGGCCGAATGCCGGTATCAGGGTATCAGTGCTTAGAGCAGTTGGGAACCAGGGGAAGTTTTTAAACAAAGATGTAAATCCCCCTCCCTATAGGATCAGTAAAACTTCTGACGTGAAAGAGTATAGAGCAGAAAAACAGCCAAAGGTTTGCCCTTAAACAGCCTACAGTACGAATACAGCCATCTAACAGCCAAAGCTTTGCTCTTAAATAGCTTACAGTACATATACAGACATCTGCTTTTTTGTATAATCTGGAGCTCAGGTTAGATGTCAGTGGAAGTGGAATATTTCACAGAAGCCTTGGGATGTCACTAGCCAGCGCAATGCCTTGTTGTAAACCCTACACCAAGGTACTGGGAGGACCCAGGAGGTTCGGGCACCATTTCATCTCATTTATTGTCGTCTAGCTAAATTTCCAGAGACTTAGAGAAGTTGATATAACCAATAGTGAGGCAACTAGACATATTTTTGTCTTATATTGGAGATTAATATTAGTTTCTTTTTTGTATTCTTGAAACAAGACAAACAAAATATAAACTAAGAAAAACAAGGTGTGGCTTTTGGCCCCTGTCTTCATGTCCTGATGGTTGTGGTAGATACACCCCTATAGGCATCACAAGTGCTGAGTCAGCAAATGTTGTGATGAATCAGGTACCCTGAGCGTTAGGTTTCTGGAAATCTGGTCCCATTAATTTTATAGCCGTGTGTGTGTGTGTGTGTGTGTGTGTGTGTGTGTGTGTGTGTGTGTCTTTAAAGATATCTTATTAAGCATATCTTGTTGATGTGGGACTCACAGCTAAGAGACTGTATAATAAGTGCCTGGCGGAAGCTCTGCTGGTGATCCTTCTACTCTTCATGGGGTGCACCACAGCCTTCTTATGCTTCCAGACAGTCCCTCAGCACCCTGCTACCACAAAACCCACGCAAGTGTTAAAATCATGGCAGCCGGCCAAATGACGGCAGAACATTGTCTTTCACTTGAGCTAGGAATACTGTGTCAGTTAACTCTCTATGTGCCCCTAAGTGATCCCGTAGATTGTGGAGTTGTAATACAGCTCTGAAGTGCTCGGGTGCTGTGTGCATACATGGTCTTCAGGTTGGCAACAGTGGGATGCTCAGGAAGTTTTGAGGTGGTCCTGGACAAATGTTGATCTTCAGGGGGCTGGGAGCCTGCTGTTGTTGGAGACCGTGGGACCCCAAGCTCTTCTCTCCTCTTTCACTTCCAGCCAAGAGGGGGATGGTTTTCACCACTCTCTGCTCCATCAGTAAAGGGCCTGAGACCCCCCGGATGACAGGTTGGTTATCCCATATGGAACACTAACACACGGATTGATAATAAATTTTACTTGTTTGCTTTTATGTATGTGGGTGTTTTGCCTGCATATACACCTGGTACCCTTGGAGGCCAGAAGATGTGAGCCTTCATGTGGGTACTGGGAATCAAACTCAGGTCCTCTGAAGAGCAGCCAGTGTTCTTAACCACCGAGCCATCTCTACCAGCCCCACAAATAAATTTTGGAGCAAGGACAAACTTTTAACGATGGAATCCATGAACAACTGAGGACTATACATTTTTATAAACCACATGGCTTTCAATTCTTGAAACGTTCTTTACATTTTAAAGATAATTAAATTGATATTTACCTGTTTTATCACTTGCATTCTTTAGAGCTTTGTTTTGTTTACATTTGGCATTTTGAATACTATATTCATATGAATTTATATAGTATATAACATATAGGCACACTGTATGTTATATATAATATGCAATGTGTTTGTTATATAGTTTATGTAAGTTAGATTGTAGAATTTAGCTTAAAACATTATTTCAGAGCCAGGCATGGTGGTGAGTGCCTGTAATTCCTGCACTCAGAGATGCAGAAGTGGGAGGATCTCTGAGAGTTCGAGGCCAGTCTGGTCTACAAACTGAGTCCAGAACAGCCAAGGCTATACAGAGAAACCCTTGTCTCAATCCTGCCCCCCCCCCCCGAACAAAAAACAAAAAACAAAAAAAACCCAAAAACAGTATTTTGCCTAGTTATGGAAAAATAAAAATATCAAACTAATTCTGTGCTAGGGAATAATTTATGCAACATTCATGCCTGACCTTATACTCCTAGAAATTGACCTTTAAAAAACTCCAACCTCTTTGAAATATACATCAGCGTGTGAAGCTTTAATAACTTGAAAAGGTGGTGTCCACCATTGCTGAAAACTAAGGAAACTGAAGGAAACATTGTACTTTTAATATCCAGTGTTAAAACACGCTGATGGTGCCTCTCCTAAGTCCTTCAAGGGAGACCGTTTCTAAATGTTTTTCTAATGTAACATTTTGAGGTGAAGCATTAACTGACTCTGCTTCTGCTTTGATGTTATCTGTAAGTGGTAC